TTGACGTCATAAAAAGCAATTTTAAGCCAAAAATAGCAGCGAAGTAGGGGATCTCCTCTTTGCTTGATGCGAGATACTAGCGAACTGAAATAACCGAATAAAAACTATGGTGAACTAAAAAAAGAAAAGAAAAAATCAAACCACCTCTGAAATTACCTTTGAAATGTTTATTAATTTTTTCTTCCGATATGCGCACATGATAGGGGCAGGTTGGGATGGGATGGGGGGGGGGTGCTCAATAGTCGCCAAATTTGGGGTAAAAGGGCAACTGGCCTTGGGGGGGGGCTAAATTTATTATTTACTTATTTTTCTTTGTAATCATTTTTCTAATTTTTTTCCGGGGTGGCTCTTTTCTTTATTCTGCTTCTTCTTTCTTTCTCACCAGATATGCACGAAACATTGGGGGTTTGAAGAGATGACACCCCCCCCCCTTCCTGATGGGGGCGCCAAATTTAAGGGTTATTTTAATCTTTCTTTCTTTTTCTCTGCCCCCCCCCCCCGTCCCTTTCTCCCTTTCTCTTTAATAGGCATGCACGCATCGAGGGGGCGAGTGGGATGGGATGGGGGTGCTGAAAACTCGCCAAATTTGGGGTAAAAGGGCAACTGGCCTGGGGGGGGGGGGGGGGGCTAAATTTATTATTTACTTTTATTTCTTTGTAATCATTTTTCTAACTTTTTTTCCGGGGGGGGGGGGCTCTTTTAGTTATTCTGCTTCTTCTTTCTTTCTCACCAGATGTGCACGAAACATTGGGGGTTTGAAGAGATGACAACCCCCCCCCCCTTTCCTGATGGGGGCGCCAAATTTAAGGGTTATTTTAATTTTTTTTTTTCTTTTTTAGTTTTCTCTGCTCTCCCCCCGCCCCTTTCTGTTTTTCTCTTTAATAGACATGCACGCATCGAGGGGCCGGGTGGGTGTCGGATGGGGTGGTTTGGGGTGCTTAATAGTCGCAAAATTTGGGTGGAAAGGGTGCACAATTGGTATTATTATTTTTTATTTATTTATTTCTTTATTTATTCATTTCTAAATTTATTTTATTATTTTGGGGGTGATCGTTTCTTTGCCGTTTAATTCTGCTTCATCTTTCTCTCTCTCTCTCTCTCTCTCTCTCTCTTTCTTCCGATATGCGCGCATGATAGGGGTAGGTTGGGATGGGATGGGGGGGGGGGTGCTTAATAGTCGCAAAATTTGGGTGGAAAGGGCACACAATTGGTAACTGGCCTTTTTGGGGCTCAATTTGTTATCTACTTTTATTTCTTTGTAATCATTTTTCTATTTTTTTTTCCGGGGGCTCTTTTCTTCATTCTGCTTCTTCTTTCTTTCTCACCAGATTTGCACGAAATATTGGGGGCTTGACGAAATGACAACCCCCTTTCCTGATGGGGGCGCCAAATTCAAGGGTTATTTTTTTTATTAATCTTTCTTTCTTTCTTTTCTCTGCCGCCCCCCTTTTCTCGCTTTCTCTTGAATAGACATGCACGCATCGAGGGGCGGGTGGGAGTCGGATGGGTGGTTTCTGGGAGCTTGATAGTTGCCAAATTTTGGGTAAAAGGGCGCACAATTGGTAATTATCCATTTTTTTAATTTGTTTATTCTCACATTTATTTATTTATTTTATTTGTTGGGGCGGGGGTATCGTTTCTTTGCCGTTTAATTCTGCTTCATCTCTCTCTCTCTCTCTCTCTCTCTCTCTCTTGAGACATGCCTGCAACATTTGGGGCCTAAGGAGATGAATCCTTCCCCCAGCCCCCCCCCCTGCCCCCTCCCTCGGCAGGAGCGCCAAGTTTTAGGTAAAAAGGGCGCAAACTTGGTGACTGGGGTGCCAATCTTGATGGTTTTCTTCCCTTCTTTCTCTTGTCTTTATAAATTCAAGACTTAGGGGAATCCCCCCCCCCCCTGTCAGGAGTAGGGGTGCTGAATTATTGGTGAAAGGGCTGCATACTTGGAAGCCAAATTTGAGGATTATTTTTTTTTATTGTAATTGCTGATCTCTTTCATTCTTTCTCTTTCATATGCAGAGAAACGTGGGACTATTATAGGGATTGCCCCCCCATGTATCAAATATGGAGCTCGAGACAAGTGCCCCCCCCCCCTCCCCCGCCTTTAACCACACATTGAACATAGGTTACTGTCCACACATCTTTCGGTTGAAATGTGTCCAACTCATTGTAAAATTTTGCTAATGTTTGTTAAACTTTGCTCAGGTTGATACAAGAAAATTTTCAGAAATTTGTTATAACAATGTTCCCACTGCTGTGTAAACTTCAGCCCTCCCTATTTTCGAGTGTGCTTAAAGGGCGGGATCTTGGTTTCTACAAAGCGGGACATTTTAAGCGGGAGTTATCATGTGAATGGAGCATGGGGTCTTTTAACTCTTGGAGAGGTGTAGTAGGGTCACTTTCATTCGGAGGGGATGTGAAAATGCATAGATTAGGGGGAACATTTTTATACTTTTGAAGCTGAAATAAAGCTACAAGAACGCAAATCTTAAAAATTGCATAGTTTACAATAAAATTGAAAAAATAGAAGAATCTAATACCTTTCTTTAAAAAAAAAAATTAAAAAAAATAATAATGAGGGTTACTGTTAATCAACTTTTTAGAATCACCCAACATCATTGCGCAATATAATAAAACAGGCATGCAGCTTCATTTCAACACAAGTTCATAAGTTATACTGGAGTGCTTCTCGCAAGGTATAAGATGGCTGCCCCCGCTATTAGACACCGCATCGAAATTGTCCCGGCAAACCGCCTGATGAACGCCGCTCAGGTTCTACAGCAGAACCTGACACTTCTGGAGTTAGTGCCACAATTAGTGAACATTGAAGGTTGTCTTCAATTCTTGGCAGAGAGAGCGTTGATTGGCAACAGCTGGACATGCGATGTCTGCCAGGAGAGAGGCCGGCTGCAGGCAACAGAAGCAATAGATGGCTTCGTTTGGAGATGTCCGCCACCCTGCAGACGAAGGAAGAGTATCCGGCAAGGCAGTTTCTTCTCTAAGAGCCACCTGGACTTAAAGAAGATCATAATGTTTATCTACCTTTGGGCCGCAGATCTTCCCCTGAAGTTTATTCAGGCAGAGGTCGGCTGCGATGACAAGACGGCCACCAACTGGGCGAACTTCCTTAGAGACGTCTGCAGCGAAGCCATCATCGTCAACATGAGGCCACTGGGTGGATTCGATGACGACGGCAACCCTATCATCGTTGAGATCGACGAATCCAAGTTTTTCCACCGGAAGTACCATCGTGGAGCCATCCGTGATGGCCACTGGGTATTTGGAGCGGTGGAGAGAGAAAGTGGCCGCTTTCTCATGAGAATTGTCGAGCAGCGGAATCGAGCAACCTTGGAACCAATCATCCAACAGTGGTGTCTGCCCGGCACCCACATCATCAGCGATGGATGGGCGGCGTACAGAGATCTCGAGAATCTCAACAACGGTGTCTACCTCCACGACGTCGTCGTCCACGAGGACAACTTTGTGGATCCTGATCTCCCCTGGCTGCATACAAACACCGTAGAGGGGAAGTGGATGCACGCTAAGAGGAAGCTGAGGCGACAGTGTGGCACCACACGGGATCTCTTTCCCACATATCTGGACGAGTTCCTGTGGCGGAACGATGTTGGCCCTAACAAGGTCGGAGAGATTATGAATGCCATCCGCCAGATTTATCCAGTGTAGCACTTTGAGGTGCTTCTAAACCCAAAGGCCCTTTTCAGCGCCAACCCAAACCCAACGGCCCTTTTAAGCGCCAAACATGACACTGAGTGAGAAACGTCCCCGTCGTAGTGTCGGTAATGCGTTGTTTCAACGTAGCCAATTCTCACATTATGAAAAAGAAAAAAGTTATACCCTTTCAATCATACTTCACTTTGTTGCCCCCCCCCCAAAAAAAAAACCCACATAAATATGCTAATAACAGAAAATATACACCACCCTGCATTCTGCAACAATCAGTTTTGCCAATATATAATATCCATTCTTTTTTCCAGGGAAGTTTATCTTTGAGCAATTTAATTGAATAAAAACAACTGTGTTGAATTAAATCTTTATTGAATTGAAATTTGAACCAGTCCCGAAAATATATATATATAAAAAAAAAAGTGAATTATTTTAGGGACTCTTCTTTTAGTATGGTAATAATTGATTCTTCCAATTCTGCGAAGAACCACTTTTATTCATTTTATTTATCCTCTTATGGAGAGAAATCCTTTCATCCATCTTTAGGGGGAGGCACTATGAAGGGGCTTAATACAAATTTGGTGAGCGCTGATGTGCTACATCTCTCTCTCTCTCTCTTCCAAATATCTTTTTTTCCCTCCCCTCCCTGTCCCTCTATCGAGCCCGTATTTTTTCAGAGCACTTTAAGTGGAGGTTGTCCTGAGATTGTCGTGGTAATATTTAAGTACGTACTCGTCCTGTTAAAACGCTCCAACTGGGGGTAACGTCGGAACCTGCACCATGAAGAATCACTTCATTCTGAGTTAAATGATCTACCAACAGAGCTATGAATCCACCCACCATAGACTGATAGACATTAGGACAACAGAACTTTTGTTACAGCCTCGATCAGATACTTTGCCTATATTGCAATAATTGGCCAATGACGGGGAGTTGATGTTGTCTTTTTGCCAAAACGTTCCAACTTGTCCTTAAAACTACTGTTCCAATTTGAATATGATGACTATATTTCCATTTTATACGAAAGTGTCCTCTTGAGACTAATAATAATAGTAATATTAATAATAATAATAATAATAATAATAATGATAATAATAATAATAATAACAACAACAATAATAATATAGCATTTAAACACGGCATCTCTCTATTCACCTATCCGGAGGCGCGAAACTAATTCATTACCCGCCATAGCATAGCTGCCAAGTGGGCGCTTTAGTATTCAAGGAATAAATTCCTGCTGGTATCCGTTTACTTCACCTGGGTTGAGTGCAGCAAAGTGTGGACAGATTTCTTGCTGTAGGAAATTAACGCTACGGATGTGGTTTGAACCGCCGACCCTCGAGTCGAGAGACGAGAGTCCGAACCTCTTCACCACAACGCTTCCGTTAATAAAGGGGGGGGGGAGGGGTTTTTGCTCCGAGGGAGGGGGCAGGGGGGGGGGGCTGGGGGGAAGGATTCATCTCCTTAGGCCCCAAATGTTGCAGGCATGTCTCAAGAGAGAGAGAGAGAGAGAGAGAGAGATGAAGCAGAATTAAACGGCAAAGAAACGATACCCCCGCCCCAACAAATAAAATAAATAAATAAATGTGAGAATAAACAAATTAAAAAAATGGATAATTACCAATTGTGCGCCCTTTTACCCAAAATTTGGCAACTATCAAGCTCCCAGAAACCACCCATCCGACTCCCACCCGCCCCTCGATGCGTGCATGTCTATTCAAGAGAAAGCGAGAAAAGGGGGGCGGCAGAGAAAAGAAAGAAAGAAAATTTAATAAAAAAAATAACCCTTGAATTTGGCGCCCCCATCAGGAAAGGGGGTTGTCATTTCGTCAAGCCCCCAATATTTCGTGCAAATCTGGTGAGAAAGAAAGAAGAAGCAGAATGAAGAAAAGAGCCCCCGGAAAAAAAAATAGAAAAATGATTACAAAGAAATAAAAGTAAATAATAAATTTAGCCCCCCCCCCCCCAGGCCAGTTGCCCTTTTACCCCAAATTTGGCGACTATTGAGCACCCCCCCCATCCCATCCCAACCTGCCCCTATCATGTGCGCATATCGGAAGAAAAAATTAATAAACATTTCAAAGGTAATTTCAGAGGTGGTTTGATTTTTTCTTTTCTTTTTTTAGTTCACCATAGTTTTTATTCGGTTATTTCAGTTCGCTAGTATCTCGCATCAAGCAAAGAGGAGATCCCCTACTTCGCTGCTATTTTTGGCTTAAAATTGCTTTTTATGACGTCAAATGATTAAAAATCATCAAGTTTTGGTATGTTTATATTTGCATATATTAGCATAATTAATATTATTGATATTAAATCCATAATAAACTGAGATTTTCAGCTGGGCACTAAAGTCCGGGTTTGCCCCAGTTGGTTGAGGCTTGTTCTGCCAAAATCTCTTATTGTTTGATTTCCCCATAGTCTGACAAGTTCAAATTATTCGATTTGCAGTCGCCTACTCCTCATCCTCGCCTTGTGTCTCTTTCACACTCTGCAATCCAGTTGGTTGAGGCTTGTTCTGCCGAAATCTCTTATTCTTTGATTTCCCCATAGTCGACAAGTTCAAATTGTTGATTCGCAGTCGCCAACTCCTCAAATTGTTGATTCGCAGTCGCCAACTCCTCATTCTCGTCTTGTGTACTTTTGGTACCGCCCCCCCCCCCCCCCCTCCCCTACAGAGCGATTTTTGGAGGGCCGGTGAAAGACCAATTTTTTCCGCCTCGGTTTAAAAACATTTCTTTTATGCCATCCAATTTCTAACGCACCCACCCCCCCCACCCCCCCCCCCCCCTTGAAAAAATCCTGCATACGCCACTGCATGGTACTATGTCCTCTCGGACACCTTTACCCATGCTTCTTGATAGTTTTCAGAATAAATTGTCAAAAAAAAATTGAGTTTATTTCTTCATGTTAATAAAACCTTTGTGTAGCTATAAGGTCCATGATAATGCAAGACATTTTATTAGTTATAAAGCTTCTTTCTCTCATACATGTATTTTCGTGTATGTTTTCTTGTGGTTGAAAAGACAATCAATAAAAACGACAGTGCAATTGCTTGAGTTGGTCTAATTGTTTTTTAACAATGTGTGGAGTTTTTTTTGCAGACAAATCAATTTGTTATGAAAATGAAAAGCAAGAAGAAAAGGGGATTAGGTATCATTATTTTTCCATTTTTTCTGCTCTTAAATATTGACGTAACACTTTGACCTGTACCTAATTGTTTTCTTTTATATTGTCAGGGAATTTGCAGAGCCAAATTGTGTAGGTGTGGCCTGGAGCTACCACGAGGCAGTTGCCAAGACACTTGAAGAGATGGATTTAGATATTGCTGAAGGGCTCATGTGGGAAGGGTTTCCCGATGATGACACAACCATGATCAAGACTACAATCAAAGACGGGGCTGATGGCATGGGGGACATATCTGTTCACAAAGGAGCATCAGATTCGTATTTGCCGGATAAGGCTTTCAGAGCTTCGTTCGCAGTGCTCAAGTGTGAGGCTGTCACACAAGATGGATCGACAGTGACTCTTTTTGAGGAGGAGAAGCCAAATGCTGTTCAGGTAAACAGACCAATAATGGAGGCGATTGGAGACATAAATTCATCCTCAACTTCAGCCCAGCTGCTACGAGATATTGAGCGGGAACGCAAACTCATGCACGACCATACCATGAAAATGTATACAGCTTCGTTGACGCGTCTTCATAAGCTTAAAATATTTAACAGTATGATAGATGAAAAACTAGATCGAGCAGATGGAGGATTGCAAGGCAGCGGCTCAGAATATCTGTGTACCCTCTGTCATGCCACGCGGGACACTGCGAAAACAGAGCTTGGCACCTTTCGTATTGAGAAGACTTATCAGGAGACAGCCGACATAGGCAGATATATGAAGGTCAATCCTGATAAGCTCTCTCAGGCAGAACTGGCGGACATCTCAAAGGGTGCGGAGAACTGGCGGAGCCAGTTCTCCTATCAGAGCCCCGTATAAAGCTGCTCCATGCCACACATGCCGACATCAACCTGGGATGCTTCTTTAAACGACTTCTTGTACGAGAGATTTGTGGAGTCCAGGTATGGGAGGCCACCCAAGACTGCGTTAATGTATTTATTCACGCTCGAACATGCACGCCGCTACATGTCCCTCAAGCGCAAAACCGAGAAAAAAACCATCTGTTCTGATTGACTTCGGAAACTTCCAGCTGACTGCCGAAATCTTCCGAACAGCCCCGCTCCTGCAACACGGCCGCTACACAACAGGCTGCTCGCCTGTCGAGTGTAGTGCATCAGGTACAATACACTGCGCACAGTGTAGCGAATCGCCCATGCCTCGCAGCTAGCAGACAAGCGAGGGTCGCGCGATCAGCCGTTTGCGTTAGTAAAAAGGTACACTCGAGTGAAGTCCCCTTTAGGTCAGAAATATAATAATGTATTGTTACTTTGGAAGATCGACGATGATGACGTGACCGAAGCAGATACTTTTCTGTCCTTTACTGCGGTCTGGATGACGTATCAGAACCGAGGAGGCTTGTTTAGGGTATCTGATAAAGCATACAGATTTTTTAGGGCTATTGAAATTGTTGTAAGAAAACAACTCGCCATCCACAAATTGGTGGGAAAATCTCATTCATCAAGAGAATTCTTAGGAACGGCAGTAAGGTCAAGCAGTTGTATACAAAAAAGTTGGGAGATTTCGATATGTGAACATCTAAGCAGAGAAGAATCAGAGGACCTTTTTACAACCATCATTAATTATTATATGAAAATCAGAATGAGCAGCTTTGTGAAATTGTATGTAAATTTAAAGAAGAAAGAATATAAGAAAGTTTTGAAGAAAGGGGAAAAGGGCCTGAGGAAAGGGCTTAAGTAGAGTTCCAAATTACAGGAGTAAAACAGGGTGCAAAACCTTTCCAGTAAGGCAAGTACCGGTAAATTTATGGTGTTCCTAGATGTGTAGCAGATGCAATCATTGACCATCATTCCGACCACTCAAAGAGCATGAAGTAGCCGCTTCTGTGAGTTAGTCCATCTGGTTAGAAATAGTTATAGACATCCAGGAGCAGCACTCCCGGCGCAACAACCTCCGCATCCATGGCATCAAGGAGCGCCCACAGGAGTCAACGAATGACGCCATCTGTCGGTTGGCTGATCAGCTCGGGTTCGAAATCACTCCAGCTGACATTGACCGCTCGTACGGCATATCACATGGAGGCGGCAATGGTGCAACAGCGGACTGGTCGAAGGATCGGCCCGTAGTTGTGCCGTTCGCCGCGTACCACACGAAAGTCAAGTTTACTCAAGCCCGTTCCAAGCTCAAGGGGACGGGTATATATATATAAATGAGGATCTGATTGTAACAAATCAGAATCTTTATTGTTGTTGTATTGTATTGTAAATGTTTCTCTTTAACTTGGACGCTATGTTTTGTATTTTATATGTTTGTTATGATGTTTTTATGATGAATGAAATAAAGTTCAATTCAATTTTATTCTTTTATTCCTCATGGTATTGCGTTTTTACCCTAAGTTTTTTTCTTAATTTGGTTAACAGGAGGAATTGGAACCCTTTGATGCAAGCAATTCGCTCTTCACGGAGTCTTCTCCCGAGTCTTCCGGGTAATTATTACTAGCACAAGTACTGAATGGAATGGAATAGAATTGATTTACTTGTGTTAAAACTTGCATTACAGTGTTGTTATAATGACGTGCCTGGCTAATATTATAATTTATTATTGTAATTATGACCGACTTTGACCGTTACATAAATTTTCTTTACTCGTCCTTACTGTGTACCTAAATATTCCTTTTCTTGATTTACATTAGCATTTTCAAGAGTGGCAGGACAGCAGGCCATCCTCATTATTGTCATAGAAATTCGCCCATTAGCGTTCATGGCACCGACTTATAATAGCCAAACACGTCATTTGATTTTTGATGACAAAATTTTGAGTGAACAATTCTCATTGGAGTGATGGTGAGGTGAAGTTTTTAATAACGATTTGGAGGCAGAGAGAGCTCCTCCACCAGACTTCTAAGCGTCCTTCCAAACGTGGGGAAAAGGGGTTTAAAGAGATGAGTGACAGTATGAAAACGGCCAGACATTCTCGGATGTGGGCTCAGATAAAGAACAAAATTAGAGCTCTGACAAAGAGCTATAATAAGACCAATCCTTACAATAACAGAAGTGGGAGAGACAGGACGAGTTGTTCTTTCTACAAAGACGTGCACAGTTTCCTCAGTAGCAGGATAGACCCTCTACGCTAGACATTATTCTGACTGTCTGAGAGTGACTCTGAGGCCTGACTCAGCTCAGAAGTCAGATAATAGTGCCAATGGGCATTTTTGTATAAGGCCAGTAAGGGCATATACCCTGATATAATAAATAAGAAGCAAAATATACCCCCAATATAACAACAAAACTGTGTAAATCTTTTAAATTTTAATAGCATCAAATGTTATTGGGTGAAGGGATAGTTAAAGGGATATTGTGATCTGTAGGCTTGCCCCCGTGTGCCGAGTGGCACGGTAAGGTAGATCCACAATTAGGTCCAGACACAGTTTTTCCCTAATTCACATTCGGAGTGGTGGCCGTTTCAGGGGGCTATTTTAAAAAATTAGGGGGCAAAAATGCCCTCAGCCCCGTACATTTCCTACCCTGGACTTCTAACAGTTTTAGCAATTCATAACATCAGATGTGCATAAAGAAGCTGGCATGTTTCAAACTTTTGAAACAGAAGGTCTTTACGGTCAAAATTCCTTTGAGAGATTTTACGCAGCACGATGACACATGTGAAATGTGTCAAGAGGATGGAATTGCTCCGACCCCAAATGTTGTGAAAGCAGGGATAGAAGCAGCGGAGGACTATGGACTGTCGTTGAGCAAGCAACATGATTGGATCTTGATTTTCTCAGTCATTGTTAAGGAGCCCAATGTCTGCGTTCCCAAAAGCATCACCATATTCAAGGACCGGACATGGGAAGTTGAGTTTGTGGGCAAGAAAGTTGCACCTCCAACAAATATTCTGTATGGTATCCCTATTGTTCTGGATGAAGAATCTGTCCAAGGACTTGTGAAATCTGTAGCTGGGTCCAAGGTATGTGTTGGGAACAAGGACTTTGTTGACTTTCTGAAAAACAAAAACATCAGAGGGTACATACATGTAGTTGATACCCACTCAGAGGAAACAGTCCCCAGCCTTAATTGTAAACTTGTGGCCGAGGACAACGATAAATGCGGCGTGTGTTCCATCTAGAGGAGTGACTTGATATCCATGAAGAATCGGAATAGTCGGAATTGTCTTCACCTATGAAAGCATGTGCTTCTTCAAAGGCAAAATTGCAATCTCTGTCCAAAATGCAACTAATCTCCAGAGCAAGGAACATACAGAAGGGCAGAATAAAGGTAAAAGGTAGCCAGAGGAGACTTCAGGACAAAATAAGGAAAATATTTAGAGAGGAGAGTGTGGCGGTTGAAAAGAATCTTGTTGATAAATCAGCACAAAAGCTGTTGTGGGAGGAGCAGACAAAGGCATTGAAGTCCTCCAACAGGAAACAGATGCGATGGCATCCATGTCAATCTTATTGCTCACTACATAGGAAAATTGTAAATTAATCTTCAACGATGGCTGGTAATTTTCGCAAGTGTGTTGATCTGCTTACTAACACAATGTACATCAAATACCAATTGCACAGTTATTTGGTACTTCAAAATTAATGAAAGTTGTATAGAAACCTTCTAAAATTCAGTAGTTCTTCATTAATTATCCATTTATAGAAATCTTCCAAAATTCTGCAATTCTTCAAAACTCTGCTTACAAACACAATTTACATCAGATACCTTCCAAAATCCATCAATTCTTCAAAACTCTGCTTACAAACACAATGTACATCAAATACAAATTGCACAGTTGTTTGGTACTTCAAAATTAATGAAAGTAGGAGACTTCTACAATCCTCGGAACTTCTACAGTCTCTTCCTCTCTCCACCCAGAGACGTGGTAGAAAGGATGATGAAGCAAGGTCTGCTCAGCGACAAGAAGGTGTGCCCCCATTGCCAGAAGGAATGCCATCTCGTGGAGCGCAAAGGAAAGCATCACGGCTTTGGTCGGCGGTGTCATAAGAACGATATCCACAAAGATGTGGAATTCTACATCACAGTGAATTCCTTCCTCAGACGTACCAACTTTGCATTCCAAGACGCCATGAAATTCATCCGTGATCTTCTACTGAAGAACTCGCCGAGGTGCATGTCGACGCAGGCAGGTTTTGAATACAAGGAAACGGCAGTCGACTGGGCCAATTTTGTTTGAGAATTCTTTCAACAATCTATTAAAGAAGCATACTGCAAATAAGCCCCCATCAAGCTGTCAGGCGAAGTAGAGGTAGATGAGTCTCTCTTTGGGAGAAGATGCAAGTACCACAAGGGGAACCCGAACGTCGGCACGAAGGTGTGGGTTGTCGGCCTCATCGAAAGTTCGTCAAATAAACTCATCCTCTATCTAGTGGAGGATTGGAAAGGGAGACCCTACTCCACATCATCACTCACCACGTCTAAGCTGGATCGAAGATAAATGAGACCACCAAGTCCAACTTTGAGGCACACCTGGCTGAGGTCATATCGAGAAATCACATCTCAGGGCAGAATATCTTTGAAGCTTTCTTCTGGCTCCTACGAGGATGTTATCCCCTGACCACGCCCAAAGTTCTCAATGCCGAACCACCTCTCTTTGACACATGGAACATGGAGAAACCCAGCCTCGCAGACACATCATTGACAAGGATGAGCGATGAAGAAGACGACGATTACGCCAATTGCCACCTTTGAGGACAGACTTAGGGCACTCCGCCAAGATCTGCTCCCGGAGGTAGATCAGCATTGGGAAGATCTTCCAGAAGATGTTCAATCATGCATTAGCGATTTCGGCACTCAGATTCCGCTGACAACTTGGGCTCTCTCCCCCTCATCTGGTGTGGAGCTGGCAGAATACCTTAA